ATATATATATATATATATATTTTAGTATTTTTGTACTCCAATTTAAAGGATACGCCTTTTGATATTTGAGTTATTTTTCTTATGGTCAACAAATCCCATGAAAAGAAAACCAACAACGTTTTAGTCTATTTTTCAATAGTTTTAATGTCTAGTTTTTAGTGTATGTGGGGTTAACTGAAAATCATCTGCAGTATCCGGAACAGGAACATTTCAGCAATGGTGTGGCTCGGTGACATGTTTCACGACATATCAGGCTTTGACTACACAAACGATGCTCGTTAATAGGATCCATTTTTCGTTGGTTGTGGCTTTTCATGGGATTTGTTGACAAAATTAACAACAATATAGACGTAGAAAATGCTTCCATTAGCTGCATTTTACTGGTAAATTGCAAAGAAAATCTCTTCTTACGAAGTAAAAAAAGGTAAAACCTTAAAAATGGTTGTTGACAATTTGACTGTATTGATACAAGCAGAGAAAATAAACTACATGTAATTGCATGGGAGCAAGTCCCCTGGTGTTAATAAGGTCTTGCTGTATCTTACTGGTAACTGCTTTGTGAGGACACGTATTGACTGGTGAGGTGTTAACCCACTCACACGGCTGCTAGAGCATCTGGTCAAAACTATCGACAAAGTGTTAATTAAATAGGTGTTGATTTGTTTCATTTTAGTTGGCTTGTTTTTACACGTTGCAATTTTGACGTGGAGCTCATAGAATAATTTAGCACTTTGTTCAAATTTGCAATGAGAAGGGGAGTGCCATCGTGGAAACAGTGTACAAGCTTCTTGGATGGAAGTGCTTTTTCTATCCATTTATGATGCATGACTCCAAGTGTACAACATGGGCAGTAATGAATACTGTATGGCGTGACTCAGGGGCCAGTCAGCTCTATGTATGAGGGCGAGCAGTCGTCTTCTCGGTGACACCGACTCATCGACGGGCGGGTTGTAGACCAGGTCTGATTACCCTCTGTGTAGCAGTGAGCTGTGTAACAGACAGACCTAGTGACCAACAGAGGCCACAGAGCGTCTGATTTTAGAAGCTTCAAAGGGAAACAAACCCAAAGGGGAAATACGTTATTCACTTTCTTTTTGATTTCTTTTCTGATACCCCACTCGTATCCGTTTGTTAAATAAATAAAAACAGCTAGCAGCTGGTTAGCTTAGCACATAACCCCCATAGAACAGCTGTTTTCGTTATTAATTTTACTAATTAATAACGAACAATTAGTTGTTTGTTATTAATTCGTAAAATGTAGAAGTGTTAGTACGCAGACTGTATTATCTTTGGATAGAGCCAGTCTGTTTCCCCCTGTTTCCAGTCTTTATGCTAAGCTAACCAATTGCTACCTCCAGGTTCATATTTAGCCTACAGACATGAGAGTGGTATCAATCTTTTCATCTAACTTTTGGCAAGGAATTGTGGTTGTTTTCACTCACACTGATCGTCTGAATAAAACTTTTCTAAAGTTAACCCTTAAATCCTAAAACGGATTTAAAAAGGTTTGCCAAGTGCGCACGCACACACACACACACACACACACACACACACACACACACACACACAC